CCGGGAGGCCGGCCGGCGGGGGCATCTCGGAGACGGGAGGTCAGGCCAGGGGGCAGAAGGGCAGGGCTGGGCCGCCCCAAGGGGGAGGGTGGCCAGGCAGGCCGCTGACTCACGTCTTCCAGTCCGTGTAATACAGATTCTTCCCGAAGCTCGTCACCGAGAAAGGGTACTGGAGGCCTTCGAGGACCCTGCGACGGACGGACTGCTCGGGCCTTAGGCACTCGGCCCGGCTAGTGCCTGTGGGAGCGAGAACAAGCCCTTCATTGTCCCCGCACAGGAAAGGGCCCCTTTGTGTCACTGAGCAAGGAGAGGGGGCGAGAGAACCTGCCAGTCCCCAGTCTCAAGAGCCAAGCCGAGCCCTGAACAGCCGAGCGTAGCCCCAAAAAGCTGAGCTAACCCCCAAGAGCAGAGCCTAGCTCTGAAGAGCCCGACCTGGCCCGGGAGAGCCGAGCCCTCCCCTGGTGGGCCCCAGAGAATGCACGGGGGTGCTCCTCAAACCCGGAGCAGCCCCTTCAGCCCCTCTCGCCCTTGTCGGTCAGCATGCCCCTTGTGGGGCACCCACGCCGGGCTCTGCTGGGCAGTATGAGCAGAGCCTGTGCCCGGAGCAGGGGCTCAGGAGGAACGGGCCACCTCCTAGTTCTTGCTCACGTCCCCCTCAGACCTACGGACGACAGGGCACCGCTGGGCAGCAGCTGGGCAAGTCTCGGGCCGGTGCCCACATGGCGACTAAGGTGTGTTCCCATAACCGTGGGCACCTCACCCCTCCTGCGCCCCAAGTGCAAGACGTAGCCCCTGCACCCCCGTGGCACCGGACACGTTCTCAACAGAGACAGACGGTGATGGACGTTGCTGCCCACAGCCCGCGCCCGAGGGATACCCAGGTCTGTCCGGGGAGGAGGGCATGGCTTTATCTCCTGTGGCTCCACGTCCTGCCCTGGCCCGTGGCGAAGTGGGAGCTACAGGCTTATCAGGGCCATATGCCTGGGTTTCGGGCTCGATCCCCAGTAGGGGGCGTGCAGGAGGCAGCTGCTCCATGATTCTCTCTCATCATGGATGTTTCTCTCTCTTTCTCCCTTCTCTGACATCAATAAAAGTCTGTATTAAAAAAGACAGTGGCAGACATGAAAATGGAGAGTGGCTAAAAAGACCTGGAGCTAAGGAGACATGCTTTCCTTCGGTTCTTCACTTGAATTGGTCATTCTGTGAATATTAAACTCGCTTCCCTTAAACATCTCAAAACCGTTAAAAGAGAAAAACAAAACAGAACACCCACACTCGCACACATACACGGGAACCCCGCACGCGCTCACCTCAGGGGGCAGCAGACCCCGGGCGCGGAGCACAGAACCGAGAGACGTGGCCAGTGGCCGGGAGCCCGGGGCCTGGTGTGTCGGACTCAGAGCCGCAACAGGAAAGGGACAGAGAGCGCTGAGGCGCCGACAAGGCCATCGGGAGGGGCCCCACGGGGACATTTATACTGGATGCTCCTCTGAGGTTCATACAACTCAGCTGCTGATCTACATGCAACCCACATGGAAATACCCGGCTTACAAACACTCGGTAAGAGATCGGAAAGTGCGTCCGGCCTGCGTGGCTCAGTGGTTGAGCATTAAACTGTGAACCAGGAGGTCATGGTTCGATTCCCGGTCAGGGTACATGCCCGGGTTGCGGGCTCGATCCCTGGTGTGGGGCGTGCAGGAGGCAGCTGATCCATGATTCTCTCTCATCATTGATGTTTCTCTCTCCCTCCCTCTCCCTGCCTCTGAAATATACCAAGAAAAAGGTCGTCCTGCACGAGGACCCTGCGGTGGGTGCCGTCCATGTAGGAGGTCTCGATCTTGGGGCTGTCTCGGTTCCAGTCCGTCCAGTAGAGGTTCCTGAGGGAGGACACGGAGGGGGACGAGGAAGAGACGTGAGGAAGAGGCACGAAAGGACGTTTCATGAAAACTACGTAGAAAGAGCCTCTGATGAAGACAGTGCAGATGCGCCCGGACGGCGTGGCTCAGCGGTTGAGCATCGACCTATGAACCAGAAGGTCAGGGTTTGATTCCCCGTCAGGGCACATGCCTGGGTGGCAGTCTCCATCCCCAGTGTGGGGCGTGGAGGAGGCAGCTGAGGAGGAGGAGGAGGAGGAGGAGGAGGAGGAGGAGGAGGAGGAGGAGGAGAGGAAGAGGAAGAGGAAGAAGAGGAAGAAGAAGAGGAATAGGAAGAGGAGGAGGAGGAAGAAGAGGAAGAGGAGGAAGAGGAAGATCGGAAAGTGGGACGTGCTACCAGGTCCACAACTGTCACAGGGGCTGGCGTTTCCCTGCGGACACCCATCGCCACCAGCTGGAGGCGTGCACTGCAGGAGGCGGGGCTGGCCTTCGAGCCCCCCCACGGAGAGCACCCGGAAGGACAGACGCACGGACAGCGGACACACACGCAGACGGGCACACGCTACCCTCTCACGGGGTCCGTCGCGATGCCTCTGGGATTCACCAGATCCGTGTCGAACAGCACGCGGCGCTGGGTGCCGTCCAGCTTCGCCACCTCTATGCGGTCCAGGCGAGAGTCCGTCCAGAAGAGGTTGCGGCCGAGATGGTCCACGGCGAGGCCTTCGGGGCTCCCGAGACCTGGGGGCAAAGGCAGAGCACGTCTGATTGGCGAAGCCGTTGAGCATCGGGGTTCCTGACCCCGTGGGGCTGTTTCACACGCGGCCAATCCCTGCACGTGGAGACAACAAGCAGGAATGTGACGTGCAACCAATTAATAAATGCCACGCATTCCCTCGGTGGGCGTCCAGGTCCGAAGCTTTGGCCCCACCAACAGGGAGCCCACCGCCAACTCGGCCCGAGGCCCCGGGTTCTTGGGGAGCTTGGGGAGGGACTCGGCTGGGGAGACTGGGCCAGGATTCCCGAGGGAGGTGACATGCACGACGCTGGCTCCTGAAGGACCAACGGGAGTCTGTCAGGCAAAGGTTTTCCAGGCTGTGGGACCAGATGTAGGTCTAAAGGAAGACGGGCCTGGCCGGCGTGGCTCAGTGGTTGAGCGTCAACCTATGAACCAGGAGGTCAGGGTTCGATTCCCGGTCAGGGCCCATGCCCAGGTTGTGAGTTCAGTCCCCAGTGTGGGGCGTGCAAGAGGCAGCCGATCAGTGATTCTCTCGTCATTGATGTTTCTATCTCTCTCTCCCTCCCTTCCTCTCTGAAATCAATAAAAATATGTTTTAAAAAAGAAGAAGAGAGGCCGCCCGGGACCCTGATGCAGACTTCAGCGAATCCCTTTCTCTCTATTGAAATAAAGAGACCCAGTCCCTTCCTCTGCGAAGATCACATTCTAGTTTAGTTCTGTTCGCACAGTGGGCTTCTGCCGGGCGGCTCGCTGCGTTCTTGGCGGATCCCCAGTCCCAGGGGCAACAGGAAATAGCAGCGGTGACCTGCCCCTCCCACTGGGTTTTGAAGTCACATCACAGAGAACAGCAGCCACATGTTTGAGAGAGAGAGAGAGACGGGATGCGGAAGGACGCTTGCAAACGTCTGTTCCTTGAACCAAGCCAGGCAAACGAGCACACCTTTCTCTCTATTGAAATAAAGAGACCCAGTCCCTTCCTCTGCGAAGATCACATTCTAGTTTAGTTCTGTTCGCACAGTGGGCTTCTGCCGGGCGGCTCGCTGCGTTCTTGGCGGATCCCCAGTCCCAGGGGCAACAGGAAATAGCAGCGGTGACCTGCCCCTCCCACTGGGTTTTGAAGTCACATCACAGAGAACAGCAGCCACATGTATGAGAGAGAGAGAGAGAGACGGGATGCGGAAGGACGCTTCCAAACGTCTGTTCCTTGAACCAAACCAGGCAAACGAGCACGTGTTTAAGTAGCACATTCGTCTCAGCCTCAGCTGAGTTCCCTCTGCCAGGGAGCCGATGCCCCGGGCTGTCCCACAGGCAGAGGCGCCCCCAGAACAGCAATTACGAGGGAAACTGGGAAAGCGACATTCGGCCCCAAGTGAAGAGAATTCCTAACGAGCGTGTGGCTTCTAAAGGCCTGTCTTTGATTTGAGCGTTTTGCGGAGGAAGAGAGAGGGTTTATACAGCGGCCACCACCAGCCGGACCACGTCCCTGGACTGGAAGTTTCTGGGAGTCGGCTGCCCTCCCCAGTACAGGAGGACTTTTAGAGTCGTTGCATTTTGGTTGTAATCACGGAAAGTGGGACGTGCTACCAGGTCCACAACTGTCACAGGGGCTGGCGTTTCCCTGCGGACACCCATCGCCACCAGCTGGAGGCGTGCACGGCAGGAGGCGGGGCTGGCCTTCGAGCCCCCCACGGAGAGCACCCCGAAGGAAGGACGCACGGACAGCGGACGCACAGACAGCGGATGCACACGCAGACGGGCACACGCTACCCTCTCACGGGGTCCGTCGCGATGCCTCTGGGATTCACCAGATCCGTGTCGAACAGCACGCGGCGCTGGGTGCCGTCGCTGGTGCTAGTGCCGGGTCTTGGGCCTCTTATTGATAGGTTTGGGGCACGCTGATGCCAGCTGCTGCTTGTTTGAGATATTTTAGGAGACTGAAGCCTGAGCCAGGACACGCCATTCATATGGAAAAGCTGCTGCAAACTGCTTGGGTGGGGCTGCAATTTGGATGGGGTGAGTTCTCAGGGAATCACTGGTGCAGAGCAAACTGTGTGAGCCACACTGACGGAACCTCAGACATGGCTTTGAGGCAGCTATGTGATGGGGAAGGTCCCAGCACAGAAACAATGATTCCTCTCAGCAGCTCTGTCTGTAAGAAAGCCACCCCAAGTTCCTGCCCTAAATGCCAGACAACCCAGTTCTTCCCTGTATGTCCCTGGATCCCCCAATTTCAATTACAGATGGAGCTCAGAGGAAGTAGGACCCTGTAAGTTCCTGAGCTGGCCCTTTATGAGGAGCAGCCTGGGTCTCAAGCTGCCTCCACATCACTCAGTGATAATTGTTTCTGGTTTTTACAACCTGAAGTTCTGAGGACTTCTGTTTCCAGTTCTGGAACCCTTGTGTTGGGGTCTTGTGTGGGGCTGGGACCCTTTGCTTCTCACAGGAGACCCCCACAGCTGAGATATTCCCCCTGATTAAGCACACACCACATGTGGGTGTCTGACTAGCTCGTTCTCCACCTCTGCCCTTCCTACCAGTCTCCATGTGCTTTCTTTTTTACCTCCCTAGTCCGGAATGATGGTTGTTCTCTATTTTAGTTGTACACTTCATGTGGTTGTGGAAGGCAGTGAGAACATGCATTTACCCAGAAAGTATTCTCAAGGGTGAGGAGGCCCTGATTTTAAGTGGATGCCAACTGTGTGTCTGTGGTCGTCATGTGGTCCTTAGCATATGAGAAGTGTCTGCACATACAAAGGACAAGAGGTGAGGAGAAGTCCTGGCCTCTGGGGCTTCTCCTGGAAGGAGGTATTGACTGTGCCCTCAGAGAACCAAGCCCTCCTTGGGGTCCTGGTCACCATGCCCAGGGACCTCTTCTTCCACAGCAGGATGTGCTGCAGGATGTGGTCACGAAGTAGGATGTGGGAGCAATCAGTGAATCCTTAGGGATAAAATCAATGTGCCTCTTCATGGAGGGATATTGATAGATAGATATAGATATAGATATAGATATAGATATAGATACGGATATGGATATGGATATACTGGTAGATATAGATAATAATATAGATGTAGATCTTCCTTTTTAAAATGATCCTTTGAGGATATTTTCATTGATTTTTGAGGGAAAGGAAAGGTGATAGAGAGAAACATTAATGTGAGAGAAAAATATTGATCAGTTAGTTGCCTCGCATATATGATTCTACAAGGAATCCAACTTGAAACATTTTTATGTATTTATTTATTTATTAAAGTATTTTTCTTATTGATTTTAGAGAGGAAGGGACAGGGAGATAGAGATAGAAACATCAATGATGACAGAGAATCATTGATTAGCTGCCTCCTGCATGCCCTTCACTGGGGATCGAGCCTGCAAGCTGGGTATGAGCCTTGACCGGGAATCAAACAGTGACCTCCTGGTTCACAGGTCGGCGCTCAACCCCTGAGCCACGCCGGCCGGGCTAATGGTGTTCAATGTTGGTAAAATACAACCATGTAAAATAGTCTTGACTATGCATACGGTCCTTGGCTGGCACCAGCACCTGTAAGGTAAGGAATTCCGTTTAACTGTTGCCTGAAGCCACACCCAGAAGGAAGCACGCCCACCTTGTCGAATGATGGTGGCCGGCTCCCCGCCATGCAGGCTGGCTCTCCCGATGGAAGGCTCGCTGATGTCGGTCCAGTAGACCATCTTGTCCACGCAGTCGAAGGCCAGGCCGATGATGACTTTGTCCTGGAAGCGCAGACCAGGGTGAGAGGGGTCCACCCACCAGCATCTGAGTGACCTGCGACGGGGGGACCCTGTCCCTGGAGGGTGTGCTGGCGGCCACCCGGGGAGGGCGGCGGCCCCGGGGGCATGTTTCAGGAGGCCAAGGCGAACGCCTCCACCACTCACATGCGTTAGCAAACACCGTGAGCGCCCAGCACCGTGTTGGGAACCCACTGTGGACCGGACCCCTGCACACACTAGCCGGACGGTTTTGTGTCCCTGGTGGGAAGGCACACGCCTATGCAGATGCACACAATGACGAGTCGACGTAACAAACTGGACATGGAGCCAGGGCAAGCCAGTGCACGGCCGGGCCAGGCTCCTCCGAGAGGTGGGCTGACCACGCCCGCTGGGTCCTCCAGGTCACCCCGTGTCCTCGGGTGCGAGGAGCCAGCACTCACCGGGGCGTGCAGCAGCGCCTTGGCCTCCGTCTTCTTCATGGTGCTGCCCTCCAGTGGGAGGCGCTCTATCTTCCCCGTCTGGGCAAAGAGCAAGTGGGTCCCGGGGGGCAGAGGGATCACGGCAGGAGGAACCGAGGGTCCGGGGTGAATCGGGGGAGCCACCGTGCTCAGACCTGGGGGCAGGAGAGGTCCATGAGCAAGGCTGAGTGCGGCAGGGATGCACGCCTGCACACGCCCATGCAAACACACCTGCACACACACCTGTACACACCCGTGCACACACAGCTGCACACGCCGAGGCGCTCTATCTTCCCCGTCTGGGCAAAGAGCAAGTGGGTCCCAGGGGGCAGAGGGATCACGGCGGGAGGAACCGAGGGTCCAGGGTGAATCGGGGGAGCCACTGTGCTCAGACCTGGGGGCAGGAGAGGTCCATGAGCGAGGCTGAGTGCGGCAGGGATGCATGCCTGCACATGCACACCTGCACACACGCCCATGCACACATACCTGCACACACCCGTGCACACACACCTGCACACACCCATGCACACCTGCACACACACGCCCATACACACACCCATGCATGCATACCTGCAAGCACACCTGCACAAAGCCATGCACACACACCTGCACACGCCCATGCACACACACCCACATGTCAGGTCACCTTCAACAAAGCCATGCACACACACCTGCACAAAGCCATGCACGCACACCTGCACACACACCCACATGCCAGGTCACCTTCGTGGCACCACAGACCACAGGCACACAATGACCCTTTTTTATCGGAAATCGCGGGAACAAAAAGACCTCAAAGGGCGCTGGTGAAGAAGACACGCAGGGCCGAGTGTAACACTACAGGTCTAGTGACAAAAGGCCTCGCCCCCCCCACCCCCCTTACTAGTGACATAAGTCGCCTCGCCGTGCACGCCGGCTTTCGATGTGGCCACACAGTGACCTGAACAGCGGCACACGGCCGCCCTGTGGACCCTGCCCCCAGGCTGCTGAGCTCTGTGATGCAGAGACGGTCCCAGTGGCCTTGCCTACGTGCCCAGGCCCACAGCAGCAACGTGGCCCTCGGGGCTCCCCGGAGCTCAGGACGACCAGGGGCTGACTGTCTGGGGTTCAGCCTTGCCTCCTATCTGCTGGCCTGGCCGTGGGCCTCGGCTCCCTGGCTCACCCCAGGCAGCCTGTGCCGCAGGGTAAGGGGCCCGGAACGGGTGTCGGGAAACCCGGGCCCCTCGGCCATGGCTGTCGCAGAACCAGCTGCAGAAACCTCCGACGCTCTTTGCACCCTAAGGGACCTAGGATCTGAAGAGCCCAGGGCACAGCCGGGAAGGAGGCAGGGTCCCGGGGTGGAGGCCTTCGTGCCACCTGAGTCAGCAGGGCCCGGGGAGCCTGCCATCCCTGCAATGCCAGGCCGCCCACTGCAGGGAGCTCACCTGCAGGACACGCACCCTCTCTGTTACCAGCCACAGCAGGGCTGCAGCGGGCCACTCGCCATTTGCCAAGAGGAGAAGGGGAGCGAGAGAGAGAGCAGTGGGCATGCCAAGGGAGACAGAGAAGAGGGGTGCAGAGGGGAGGAGAGGAGGGAGGGAATAGGGTTCAAGCCAGGGGAGCTTTCGGGATTCGGGGCAGCAGAAAGCACCCGCCATGTGTTCGGCAGGGCCCCCCAACGATGCTCACAGGCGCTGGGGGACCCTGGTCCTCAGGTCTTTATGATGCCCAAGCCCCAGCACGTTCCGCCCCCAACTTACAGGGGGGCCTCATCCCGGGCCTGGTCCTGGTGCCCTCCAGCTCACGGCCGTCGCGGTCCACACACCAGCAGTAGCCGGTGCTGCCATGGCACTGGGTGGGCACGTACTGCCCGTGCTCGTCGCACTCGGGGACAAACATCCCTGGGGGCAGAGGGCGCTGGCCCGCCACCCCCGCCGCCCCGAGGATGTGTTCTCGCTGGAGCTGGCAGCGGGTCTTCTCTGCTTCTGTCAGGGAGACAAGCGAAGGGGACACGTCAGCGGTGGCGTCATCGGGGATCCTGCCGTGCCACGCAAGTCCCCACACCCCACTCAGAACCGCAGAGCTGCCTGGTCACCACTGGGTTGTGTTTTACTAATTTTTTAAAATATTTCTTTTATGGATTTCAGAGAGGAAGGGAGAAGGAGAGAGAGACAGGAACATCCATGATGAGAGAGAATCACCGATCGGCTGCCTCCTGCATGCTCCCCCACTGTGGATCGAGCCCGCAACCCAGGCATGTGCCCTTGGCCGGAATCGAACCTGGGACCCTTCAGTCTGCAGGCTGACGCTCTATCCATTGAGCCAAGCCGGCTAGGGCTTACTAATTTTTAAAAATTTAAATCAACCTGCCCCCCAGGTGGCATGGCTCAGTGGTTGAGGGTGGACCTATGAACCAGGAGGTCAAGGTTCGATTCCCGATTCTTTCTCATCACTGATGTTTCTCTCTCTCTTCCTCTCTGTAATCAATAAAATATATATATAAAAAATTAAAAAAAGGTGTAGCCCTGTTATCAGGACTTCCTTCCTCTCTGTAATCAATAAAAAATATCCTATATAATAAAAGGCTAATATGCAAATTGTCTCCTTGGGAGTTCAACTGCTCGCTATGACGTACACTGACCACCAGGGGGCGGCGCGGAATGAAGGAAGGTGCTCGCTATGACGTGCACTGACCACCAGGGGGCGGCGCAGAACGAAGGAAGGCCCCAGCTAGCAGCCAGAAGGCCCTGATGGCCAGCCAGGCCTAGGGACCCTACCTGTGCACGCATTTCGTGCACTGGGCCTCTAGTATTAAAAATAAAAAAAGAAGTAGCCCTGTTATCAGCACTGCCTTCCTCTCTGGGGCTGAGTAACATTCTATCGTGAGCTGGACCGCAGTCTGTGTGTCCCTGCATGAGCTGATGAACGGCACTGACATTTGTTTTACATTTATTTGTTTAAAGTTTTTCTTAAATGCCTTTTTTTGGGGGGGAGGGGAAGGTAGACTGTTAAAGCCAGGCCAAAGGGGAGGCCCTCGGAAGGGGACACAAAGTCAGGGTGAGTTGGGCTATTACTGGCAATGCTCAGAGCCGCTTAAATGTCTTTTTGTTATTATTATTATTATTCAAGCTTCTTGCCACCCACGCACATTGAGTCTGGGCTCTGGGGACCAAAGACGCAGGGCCCCTCACCCCATGCGTGTCTCCCTGTAGTGACGCCCTCGGGCCTGGCACGAAGCACGGCCTCTGAACCGGGCCGCTCAGACCCCACAGGACATGCCCGGAGTCTGCGGGCGAGGCTCAGTCAGGGCCCGGGACACTCAGGCCCAGGGCCCGGCAGGGCGGAGCGGGTTCCGCACGGAGGGAGACCGGCCGCCGAATCCACCCACACCTGTCTGCACAAGGTGCACGTTCAAGACTGCACTTACTTAACCGTGACGTGCCTACGTGCACCGTGACGTGTCTGTGCACAGATGGGACGTTCGGTCCTGCACGCATGTGCACCGTGACGTGTCTGTGCACAGATGGGACGTTGGTCCTGCACACACGTGCACCGTGACGTGTTTGTGCACAGATGGGACGTTCGGCCCTGCACGCACGTACACTGTGATGTGTCTGCGCACAGATGGGACGTTCGGTCCTGCACGCACGTGCACCGTGACGTGTGTGTGCACAGATGGGACGTCCGGTCCCGCACACACATGCACCGTGACGTGTCTGCGCACAGATGGGACGTTTGGTCCTGCACTCACGCTTCCATGCGTGCACCGTGACGTGTCTGTGCACAGATGGGACGTTTGGTCCTGCACGCACATCCACCATGACATGTCTACGCACGGATGGAACTTTCAGTCCCGCACACACATGCACTGTGACGTGTCTGCGCACAGATGGGACGTTCGGTCCTGCACACACATGCACCGTGACGTGTTCCGCACTCACACTTCCATGCACTTACACAAGCATATATACAAGCATCGTTTCATAACACAATACTTATTCCTGCTCCACGCTCTCTACCTACCCTGACATTTTCTAGTTTTGCTTCATTCCATCCCATTCAAAGAAAACGGGGACAGCAACCCATACACGGGTTTATTTCTATATATTTATACAAACGGGACCTCGCAGCATATACCCTTTTGCTCGACAAGGTTTTGAGATTTCCCCGTTAATTCCAGTTCACTCATGTTAACCGCTGTGTATTATTTCATCGTCTGAATGGTACCCATTCCTCCTGCTGACAGTCATTCAGGTTGTTTTCGGTGACACACAACGCTCAGTTTCCAGTGCACATTCTCCCCCGGGGACATGGCCAGAGGTTGACTTTCGGAAAAGAACAGGATTAACTATGTAAACAGCCCCAGCAAGCAGCCAGTCCTGGCTTTATCTTTCCATGCCAGCCTGCAGGCCTGGCTTGTGTGTTTCGTCAGCAGAGCCTTAACTAGGAGACAAGAAGTCAGACTTCAAACAACAAAACAAAAAAATAAAGCTCCGACTTCCTTTTGAACTGGAGACGAGCAGGAAGCCTCAGGAAGTAATGAATGTGAGGCCCCCCCCCCCCCACACAC